AATCACAAATGACAAGAAAAACTACAGATTGAGTTTGAGGATAAACAATTTGACTTACACTATTTTAACATTAATACATACGAATTATTGAACACTAAATGCTAATAATCTATACCATCTTTTGTGGTAGCTTTGTCAATACTAAAAGTTAGTTTATAATCATAAACATGAAATGTATGCGGCCGCAATGTTGTCTGTATCTTCCTTTCTGTTCATGGTCTTTTCTCTCCTTTGCATAATTCTGAGGCTCAGCAATGTATATCGGGTTGACTCTCTTTTTTCTTTGTCAATAACTTTTGCGTTTGCGAAATCAGCTGTGTGTCCACTTGTTGTTACATGTTGTGCTAATGCTGTACTGCTTTTTTGTTTTCTGATGTCAGCTTCATGCTCGCTTAATCGAACACCTAAAGACTGCTTAGTTGTCTCAATATACACTTTCCCGCATTCTTCATTTTCCTTTCTTTGCATTTAATTTCAAACACTACATCGCTTTGTTGGTGGACATCTACTGGGCACTTTGTTTTTGTGTATATTTTCGAAAGAGTGTAATTGGATTTTTAGGCAAGTGCTGTCTTTTGTGGTTTAGTTATGCTGTGATCAAAGTTGTCGGTTAGGTTGGGAATATACGTTACACTGTAAAATTTCTTGGTGGTTTTTGTTGTGTCTATGTTCGGTGTTGTATTTGGATGAATGTTATTTTTCATAATTTGTTGATTTATTAGTTCTCGTATTAATTTAAGAGGATAATTATTGCGTATTAAGATTTTGTTTATTTTCTCTATGTTAGCGTCATGGAATCGTGTGTAGCTTGTCGTCAATATTTTGTGGATGAGGTTTTTTGCTGTGTTAATCATATATTTAGTTGGTTGCGATGAATAATAATTTATTACCAGTCAAGTAAATGATATTGGTTTTCCCTATGAATGCAAACGTCAAGGAAAGGGATTTTTGATTTTTTCTCTATTTCCATCGTAAATTGGAGTTTGTTGTGATACTTTTTTAGAATCCCTAGAATAATATTCGCGTCGATATGTTTAACTATAGCGAAGATGTCGTCCACATATTTGGCTATAAATTTGATGTCAATATTGAATTTTTAACTAAATTTTTAATTAAACTAACTTTTAGTATTAACCACAAAAGATGGTATAGATTATTAGCATTTAGTGTTCAATAGCTCGTATGTATTTATGTTAAAATAGTGTAAGTAAAATTGTTTATCTTCAAACTCAATCTGTAGTTTTTCTTGTCATTTGTAATTCCATATATATATATGTTTTTATGTCTCCATTTATTATTTTTGGTTACAATGTGTTCTTGTATTTTATGGTTCGTGACAGATTTAATTAAGCGGAATTGCCCCTGAAGAAGCTAAAAATGTTTTAGCGAAACGTTGGGCCAGAAAGTGAAATAACGTAGTTTTATTTGCGCAAAACACTTAGATCAGACCAGCCTACTAACATACAATTGAATAAATTACGAACTGATCGGATAATAAAATATATAGAACTAAAAATGTTTAGTTTATAGACTACTTTTGCTTTTAAACGCTATTTTTGAATTGGCCAACGCAAAAGATCTTATAAGGCGCCGCGAAGCAAGCGCGCATTTGCTAGTTGACTAATAATTTTGCACTAATTCTGACAAAATAACAGCTTACCATACACATGACTTTGAAAGCGCACTGAAAGCACAGGGTTGACACTTCAAATCTGTTATTTGGAAATTTTCTTAGTTGACATATGTACTTTTATAAAAATAACTGATACGAAGAATATATTGCTTTAAAAATCTTTAATTTATGCCAAAAACAATCCAATTCCGGCCAGTGTGGTATGGAAGAAAATGGGTAAAAAAATTGCCAAAAATCAACGCGATTTTAACTCTTTTATACTTAATTTAATAGGTCACTGCATTTTCAATCTTTTTGTAAAAAAATCTTACAAGAAACATGAACAATTTATACAAAGTTAATTTTCCTGAATTTTGCACAAGTTTAAGTTATTTAATTTTTATGTTTTTCATTGTAAAAGCATAAACAGACGGTAGCGTTGATCCGTATCAACTCCGGAATTAACTGCAGTTGATCCGAATTAAGTCCGATTTAATCCGGATCAGCGCTGCCGTCTGTTTAAGCTTTATACAAACCATATTTTTACAAAAAAATGGGGAAAATAAATTATAATTAAAAGAAAACTTCATACATTGTGAAAGGTTCTCCGTATGTATACATTTCTGGTTGGGAGTACATAATAATAAGGGGACCTCCTGATACCCATTAGTATATTTTTTATTGATGAGAGCCTAACTTGATATAATCAATATTTGTGAGATCCAGATTGACTGGACTAATAAGGCAAAATGAGCTCAAAACGTTACAGTGGTTTTACAGCGCAAGGCAGATGTTACTCATTTCGCGTTCATCGTACGAATAGCGAATCAAAAAATAAAAAGGGTATAGGTGAAGAAGCCATAAATTAATGTTCAATTATTTAATTCGAGTGAATCAAATGGGATGAACCGTTCATATAAAATTTACATATACATTTGCAAATAATTTACATATCCGAAATTTTTGCGGAGATACATTTTAATATCTTAATCATTGTCTTTCGTTTGGTGTTGCTTTGTCCCGAAATAAATCTTGAGGGTTATAGTATATTGAGAGAATAATCCCGAGTTTCACCAATCAATTTTAAAGTTTATCAGACTGTTAAGATTTAAAATGACACATTTTCCGAACATATTTTATCATTTTAAATTTTTACTGGCTGATAAATTTAAAACTGATTGATGCAACCGGGCATTCGTAATTTGATTGAATTAACCGATTTGTTGTTTAAGGGCTTAAAAGCATGGACCGAACATAACAGATATTGATGAAAACTGTCATCGAAAAATTCACTATGAAACCGCTAAAAAAATACGCACAAAACAAACTTCAGCGAAGAAGGGCGCCTAAAACTAGTCGCCCGCGAAGAGAGACGCGTTAGCCTATTTGACGGCGAAGAAATGCGCGTAAATATTTTCGCGGTCAACTATGGTTAAGGGTGTAATAGTATGTACATTCCCCAAAGATTTTTTGGGAAATACTGCTGAAGTGACAGTCCCTGGCTAGGTATAAATCCGTATTTACGCGTCTTTCTTTGCCGTCAGCTAGATTGACACGTATTTTTTTACGCCTTAGATAACAGTTATTGAAGACAAGTAAGAAAGTCTAAGTTCGGGCGGAGCCGAACATTAAATACCCGGCGCAAGTATTAAATATATGATTTTCACCTTTCCGAAACCTACCGCTAGATGGTAAGCGGGGGTGTATCAATTTTGAGTAAATTAGCGTCCTAAAATTTCGAAACATTGCAGTTTCAAGCATTTTTGAAATTTACCGTGATATGAAAAGCGGCCGTAATTTTAGTCCGATTTCAATAATTTTTAAAGTTTTGCTTTTATGTGGCAAGCACAATAACCATACCGAGTTTGGTACAAATTGCTAGAACGGTTAGCGAGATACATATATGTGATCACAAGTGGGCGGTGCCCCGCCCATTTTTTCTTGGTAAATAATTGTTGCAACCACCAATTTTGAATAAATTAGCTTTAATATTTACTGATTTATCGAAGATTTTGTATTTCCCGAAATTACCGTTATATGGGATGTGGGCGTGGTAATAACCATCCGATTTTAAAAAATTTCAACCGGTTGGTATGCTGTACCAGGACCAACAACTGTGCCAAGTCTGGAAGAAATCGGTGGAGAGGTTGCCAAGATATACACATGTAACCATAAGTGGGCGTGGCTGCACCCATTTTTCAAAAATTTATAATATTGTGGCGAATACTGCGGCAACACAAAGCGAACAACGAGAAATAGGCAGAATGTTCGA